TTCTCTGAAAAAAAAACTCCGGGAAGATTGTTTTCTAAAAAAATACAAGTCTTGCCGAGACCGGTTTGGCTCAGTGGATAGAGCATCGGCTTGCGGACTGAAAGGTCCCAGGTTCGATTCTGGTCAAGGGCGTGTACCTTGGTTGCGGGCACATTCCTGGTGGGGGGTGTGCAAGAGGCAGCTGATCGATGATTCTTTCTCACCGATGTTTCTAACTCTCTATCCCTCTCTCTTCCTCTCTGTAAAAAAAAAAATCAATAAAATATATTTAAAAAATAAAATTAAAAAATACAAGTCTAAAATGAGTCATATGAAAATTAAAATACATTGGGTCTTTTTTCTTGACTTTACACTGTTGACCCTTTCATAATCGTCTATGCAGGTTGAGACTATCTAGGGACAAAGTGAAGGACCACACTTGTTGAATCTATTTTAAATTCAATTTACAGGCATACGATATTTGCCAATTATCTCAACTAATAATAAGAACATAATATCATCAAATATCTCCTTATATCTTACTTGGCATACTACTACCCGTGTTTCCCTGAAAATAAGACATCCTCTGAAAATAAAACCTAGCGCATGGAAAGATAAGACATCCCCTGAAAATAAGACCTAGCGCAACTTTGGGAGAAAAAATTAATATAAGACACTGTCTTATTTTCGGAGAAACAGAGTAGTAAAGAGAATGTGCTTCAGAGACAGTGGATCTTGGTTCTAATCCTTATTTAGCTGCCTTACTATGAAAAGGGATAACACAGACTTCATAAGGACAATAATATATGCCAGCACAGAAGAGCATCATCAAATAAGAGCCCAATAAACTATAATTACCATTATTATGATTATACTCTTAGAAATTTTATGAAGACAGACAGAACAGGGTGTTTTTATAATCCACTTAGAAGTGGAACAATCAAATCTTGTGGAGTTTAAATGACATATCAATGTTTCATGTTCATAAAAAGTATTACATCAGTGGTTAATATGAAACAAACAAAAATAACCCAGTCTCTATTATTGAGGAGTTATTAATTAAGGTGGGGAAGAAGTTATGAGATAAATCAGGATATGACATTTGGGATAAAGTTAGTCAGAAAAGATGACTTGGTGGAGGTTAGTTTGATTGAAGTGTAGAATTCTATGGGTTGTGATAGAAGAAAAGGGCAGTAAGAATAATATGGAAAAATCATAGAAGCCAGATTCACCTTACTAACTAAACAATATACATTTTCAAGTCTAATCCCAGGACAAAAAAGTATTACTATCTAATATTCATGACAATATTCTTTACCAAAGTCTGTTGTATTAATTGAGAAAAGAAATGTTTGGTTAAACAGAATAGAAGATATTTAAATTTAAAGGACCAAGGCTAGTTCTGTCCTTCATTTGGGTGAAGCATGCATTTCTCAAAGGGTTTAGAGAAAAGCCTGTTCTCAAACTACACTTGGCCCCCATTCCCAACACAACCATCTACCTCCCATCTTGAATTGCTAAATGAGAAAATAGTTTTCTATTCATATGCCAGATTAAAAAATGCCCTCACTGTAGTCACTATAGTAATGAGCAAGCTTGGAAATAAGATTAGAGATAATGTTGTGGGATAAAGTTGTAAACTAGTTAAGATCTATCATAGTAGTTCCCCCATAATGTTTATTTTCCTTGTAGCCTGAATTTCACCATGCCCAATCCGGCTTCATTGGTATTAACTGAGCACCTACACTTGAGGCTCTAATTGGAGCTCTGAGAGTCCAAAAATACATGCCTGTGTCTTTAAAGTCTAACAATGTCTAGCTAAGAGCTAAGACTTGAAGGGAGGTAATGTAAATGCTTTAGGATATCTTGAAACAGATTCGGGGGAATTTAATCTTTTTCTTTACGTTTAGAACTGTTTTTGCCTTTATAGTAGCATTCCAAAGGGATATTCATATTCTGAAATGAATAGCAACTAGCAACTGCTGTGTCAGCTGCTTCTATAAATAGCATAACTCTAGTAATACTTGAATGCCCAGTTTCTAAAAGTGTTCATTTGGGAGCCAACTCCACAGAAATAAAATAATCTATATTTTCTATCAGTTGGGCAATAAACTCACAGCAGTAAAGATCAAGCATAAGAAATGGAGCCTTTCTTTTTTTCTTATATTTTTATTTATTTCAAGTAGATTTCCTAGATTTCCCTTGACACTTATTTTGTGCCACTTCAATATTATTCTGAAATACAGACATGGACTTGACAAAAAAATACCATTATTTTATGTTTTCAAATAATTGCATTTTGATAGAATTCTGAAGTGGCAAAGATTTTTAACAACACAGTAGTGTTTTCCCCCTGCTACATGAGGCTTATTTTTTTTATGTTTATTACATGCAAGTTTAATTATATAAAGTAGAAGAAAAAGGGCAGAGGCACTAAATTAAAATAGCTATGAAAATTGTTATAACTACTTAAGCTTAGCAGAACACATTTCTATTTTGATGACTTTTTAGGGAGATTTTTTTTTACCATGATCATCAACATTTTACTTATGTACTACTTTTTATGGCAACCTACCATTACATTCTTTTTGAATGATCATAGTAGAATAGCAAACACATATTAAAAATTCCCTCAAACTATGTCATGATATATACCAAACAGTTTTATTACAATAATTTACAGCTTGAGAAATAAGAGCCTGGGAAATTCTAAGTATATTCCAATTCCCCAGTTTTTGTGAAAAACTGTACTAGTGTGGTTGAAATTCAGTGGATCTTGGTAAAAGATGTACTGAAGAACTAAAATATAACTGTTTTTCCTGTGTTTTCTACAACCTGCCAATTTCATTTCCCTTTCTCTGTGCTCTCTCTGCGGGTTCACTTGGATGTTGGTGAGCTATGGCTTGCCTTTATTAGACTCCTGTGAGCAGTGACAATGAATGTGCACAATTTACTGTACACACAAGTGGCTTTTTCTGCCCTCTAGGCCAGTATCAGGACCATTTCTCATTGGGAAGTCAGACAATATAATTAAATCCTACTGGCACAGGCATGGGTAAATTCCTATTGGCATACAAGTGGAAAGAAATATGGGAAAAAAAGAATAAAAATAGCATAAGGGGAGGTAAAATCAGAGAAAAATGCAGGAATGGGAGGAAAGATAAATCAAAAGTAATTTAACTCATCAAAACAAATAAATGCAATATAAGCATTGTCTTTCTGCAATCATAGGAGATTTATAAGAAGAACAAAGAGAATATTATAAAAAGGTCAGCATTCTCTATAAATGTTTAGGCAATGGAGATAATTATTTTGCTACTTTCTCTTGAATAAAGAAAAATTCAGCTTCTCTTTATTTCTAGATCATTTGAATGAGAAAGTTCCAGAATGCCTCTCCCACCTAACATCATAAACTTAGGTTTATGATAGAGATGCTGAAGCTGTGAATATTTAAAGATGACTTCTGAGTTATTACAACATTTTAAATAATTAACTAATTTGTTAATAAAATACATTAATAAATGCTTTTGGTATTACGACATTGTAACATATTCTAGTTCTTTAGGAAGTATATTTGCTCTAGGTAACAATTAGCCTACACTTAAGAGCCAACATGGAATCTAATCCAGGTATACTCCATCAAAGACCAGTCCCAGACACTCTGAAAAAAAATTATTGACATTACTTTTATAGTTATTTCTGACTACAAAAAACACTGGGAATTGCTGCTTGAGATATGTAATTTATGTGTGATATAAAACAGCCAGTAAATTTCAGCTACAGGGATACTCCACTGATAAAACTAATATCTCATTTCTTACTTTACATATTCTGGATAAATTAGCATGTCTTCATGTAAATTGGTAACACTGATATAGACACTACTTATAGCTTAAAATAAAAGCCTTAATGAAGTCAAAGAGTATTTGTTTGCTGCTTGTGTTTCATAGTATTTGATTCTTTTCTTTCAAGTATTTTGTTTGAATTTGAAAAAATTGCATATACTGTATTGCATTGAAGTAAGATGGTTTCGGTGCATTGCAATACAACAGAAAAAGCAGTTTAAGACAAGTGAATTCTCAACTTCTTTGAGAGTTTTTTTCCTCTTGATTTTTTGTCAGACCTCATGAATAAGATGATGACTCAGATAAATATAAGCCCAAGTTCTCTCTGATGAATTATTGACTGATTGGTCAGTGTGTGGCTCTGGACATCAGAATAGAAAAAAGAAGTTGGCATCTTGCTGAATTTGGCCAAGGCTTCTAAATAGTTCCATAATGTGACATAAAGAACCCAATGATGCCCACTCCTCACCCAAGCTCTCAGTAAAAGAAAGACCAACCATGGAAGCCAGCTCTATGCAAATAATCTCCCTTTGCAGTGTTCCAGATCTAGGTGAAAGGCACTCAAATCATAAAGAAGCTGGGGTGAGGAGAGACCTCTTTGTGTGTGAGTCAATGGGTCCATGTTGTTAATTAATCTTAATGTAACCTTGCCAACAGCACTTGCAAGATGTGAAGGGTGAGGAGAGAACACTGCTTGATTCAAACCAAGAAGGCAGTTGATAGGTCTTAGGAAATTTCTTAGTAAAAAGAGTTGACACTGGAGTTTTCATAGATAGATGTTGGAAAGTGAATAGTCTTTCAATAAATGATTCCTAATGTAAGTTTCACTTTGGGAGGTAGGGACTAAGAGAGTAATATAATGTGCATATTTTGAATTGCAATTTTATTTAACTTTTTTAAAAAAAAATATATATATATTATTGATTTTTTTTACAGAGAAGAAGAGAGAGTGATAGAAACATCAACAAGAGAGAGTCATCAGCTGCCTCTTGCACACCCTCTACTGGGGAAAAGCCCACAACCAAGGTACATGCCCTTGACTGGAATCGAATCCTGGACTTTTCAGTCTGCAGGACGACTCTCTATCCACTGAGCCAAACTGGTTTTGGCTTATTTAACTTTTTGATATCACCCCGATGAGAAGTTACATATACAGGGAAAACTCCCAGGACTTACATCTCTTCCAACCAGATCCTCCTGATTTTCTACAATTCCCCAGGGGGCAATGCCGATGGTACATATCTTCCCTCGAGACTTAGATGCATGGTCCTTCAAGGCGTCGCCAACATGACGAATCACACCTACGAGGAAAAAGAGAAGAATGACTCTTGCCTTTTAAAGCAATTACTTTCCATTGTTCTAAAATAAACTGTGAGAACAATTTCTCCCAAGATTAAATGTACTGAATATACAATTTTGACACATGTGTGTATAAACTGCATTGTTTATGTGAACATAAACTTGTGCCTCTAAGGCCAGATACATTTGCCAAGACTTGTAACATGAACTCCAGCAATGCATTTCTTATCCCATCTTATATGAAAAAAATGCATCTAACTTCTATAAAAACATAAATAGAATTGTGTATAATGATGTATTAAGTATGACTAAGAACCAATTCTATGACTGTATCCTATAAAAAGCACAATATGTAACATTATATTAAATTTACACCACAGTTTGTAAGAGTTAGGGTCAAATAGAATAGTATCAGCTCAGATTTTGTCAACCTTGATTTCATCTTTCAATTTATGGACACATCTTTCAATAATGTACAGACCTTATTTGGAAAGAAAATGTTGGCATATTCTGTGGAAAGTTCATGTTAAAAATACATATCCATTGGTTATGTTTATATGCATGCATGCAAGTCCTTTGGTTGATCTCTTACAGCCCCCTGTCCCCAACCTCCCTTGCCTTCCCACTATAGTTTGTTCAATAGTTCTTTATAACTATAGGAGATGAAGGCATATGCAGGGGGGTGGGTGGGGGGGGAGTGGAGGCTGAGAGTAGGTCAAAAGGAAAAAATAGGAGACATATGTACTACTATTTGTAATCCTTCAAACAATAAAAAAATTCCAAAAAAAATAAAAATAAAAAATATAAATATACCTTTTTATCTTTATCATTCTAATAGTTTTACTCTCCTATTATGATGGCTTTCCCCATCACTGTAGCTAAAAGTGAGAAATTCAGCCCTAGCCAGTTTGGCTCAGTGTCAGCCTGTGGACTCAAGGGTCTAGGTTCGATTCTGGTCAAGGGCATGTACCTAGGTTGTGGGCACATCCCCTATTGGGCATGTACCTAGGTTGTGGGCACATCCCCTATTGGCAGCTGATCGATGTCTCTCTCTCATTGATGTTTCTGACTATCACTCTCTCTTCTTCTCTGTAAAAAAAATCAATAAAATATATTTTAAAAAGTGAGAAATTCAGTTTATAAAATGGTTGGAGACCTATAATTTATCTTTTTATAAACAATCTAAAAAAGATTCAATTAATAATTTTTTGCCTCCCTCTTCAATGGTAATTTTCATATAACATATGAAATATATTCTCTAAGAGAAGATGTTTCCACTTACAAAACTTCCACCCATTGCTCAAGGAAAACTTCACACCTAGTTTCATCTCCTCCTATATGAAAGTTGAGTTTGATTTTATTTTGTCTAAGTCTAAACAGGATATGGTTTGCATATCTTGAATAGCTCAATATGTCCCCCACCATATTCTGTCATGAATCATAATTGCACAAGGAGATGGTCCCTCTAAGTGTAAAACTCCTTGGGCTGGGGGGGGGGGGGAGGAGGGGGAGGTCAGTAAAGCACAGAGTAAAGGCTCACAAACTATACAATGAACTAAGCACACAAAACACAGCAGGTGCCAAAACCAATTTTGCTCAGTGGATAGAGATTGCTCTGTGGACTGAAAGGTCCCAGGTTTGATTCCAGTCAAGGGCATGTACATTGGTTGTGGGTACATCCCCGGTAGGGGTGCAGGGGGCAGCTGGTTGATGTTTCTCTCTCATTGATGTTTCTAGTTCTCTATTTTTCTCCCTTCCTTTCTGTAAAAAATCAATTAAAAATATATACATACACACACACACACACATGCACCATACATGTGTAAACAACTCGATTCTGAGATATTTGTAAGAAGAAACAGAAAGATCCTCATTTAAAAAATCAAATAACAAAATAGTGTAAATAACCACTAATCTACATTGAGCTATTCTGGAAGTATTGGGAAGAATATCAATTTTACTTATTAGCTTATCTATGGATCTCATAAGTGAGAGCACTGGTTTAAAATATAAGAAACAAAGCTGTGAATATTCATATTAAAAATTCCCCCAATTTATATGCAAAATTCCTTTCAGGGTAGTCCTGGACAAGAAGTTAATGCCCTTCCATCTGCCATAATGCCACCATTATCTCTTATGCAATCTGAGTGTGTCACCATTAGAACCTCACAATGAGTACTGCACTGCACATCAAGCCTGGAATGAGGCAGAAAGGAACTCTTTGGCTTTTGTATTTATGTTGTAAATTCTTCTCTTGTTATTTGATGTGCTTTATAAAAGAAGAAAAACAAGTATTCAGAAACAAAAGATTGGTATGAATTTTTTAAAAACCTTTAGCAATTTTGAGTTGGTCTCTGTATGAGGTACAGGTTATGTCAGGAGAGCAAAACAGTGAATAATCCCAGGCGAATGGTGCCTACTAAGCTGTGAGTGAAAGATGGAGCCCTAAAGCCTAGCAATTGAAAGAAAATTGCCCTGTAGACGTTTGATCACTACACAATAAACAGTGAAGAGCTGACTGAGCAGGCCATCCTAAGATCATGTCAGTTACAGACTAAGCCAGGATTTCACAATAACAATGAAGAGCTTGGGCAATCCTCAGAGTTCACTGCTGAAATGTGCACATGGAGTTCCATGCTGAATGCTCACAAATTCTAGGTATTGAGGAGAATTCTGAGTGCAGGTCTCACTCAAACATCATCCAAACTATAAACTAAAGAATAAACAACATTGAGATCATCTTTTATTTAAAACTTGTTGGTCCAGGGTAATGTTAGAATGTTCCACTACCTCCAAGTTTGCCTACATCTGCAGACTTTGAGTCTCATAACAAGTTTGAATTAACTCACTGTGGCATTACTTGTGTACTTTCAACTGGCACTTCAGATCAGGCTGGGGAAATATGTCAAAACAATTTACAGGCATCCATTCCACTCTCTGTTGCACATTAATTCTGCAGATAAGCACTTAAGTGTAAGTGGATTTGTAGGAATTGGTCTGACAACCTGCCTGTATCACAATGTAGAAATGTCTTTGCAGGTTGAAAAAAACTATTTGGAATTCAGAGTGGAGTGTATCTTCTACTGATGTAGAGATTATTTAATAAAATTGAAATAGCAAGCAAATATTCTTGACTTTGCTATAATAATTTATGTTCCAGATGGAAAGGGCATTTTATAAAAATTAAAGCTATTTCCATCAAACTTAAAATCAATTTTAAAACAGAAGCAGAGCTTCTAATTTAGAGCATAAGCTATTCCTTAAAGAATTATTGGGTATAGCAAAGGCGTATAGTCAATAATATTGTAATAAATATGTATGTGTCAGGGGATACTAGACTTACTGGGGGATAACTTCATAAGTTATATAAATGTCTCATCACTATGCTGATCACCCGAGACTAATATGATATCAAATGTTAGCTGTATTTGAAAAATAACAAAAAACATTTTTTTTTTTTTTTTTTTTTTTTTTTATAAATATATTTTTATTGATTTTGTACAGGGAGGAAGGGAGAGAGATAGAGAGTTAGAAACATCGATGAGAGAGAGTCATCGATCAGCTGCCTCTTGCACACTCCCTATTGGGGATATGCCCGCAACCGAGGTACATGCCCTTGACCGGAATCGAACCCGGGACCCTTAAGTCCCCAAGCCGATGCTCTATCCATTGAGCCAAACCGGCCTCGGCAACAAAAAACATTTTAAAAAAGAATTATTGGATGCTTACTTGGCAACTTGCGATATTGAACATATCCTATGATATTACATTAGTCATATTTAAAAATTCTGTATAGTCGAATATTAAATATCATAACCTGTTTCTTTTGCATAAGTAATTCTACTTGACTGAGAAAGAATGGCAGAGTTATTATTTAGGTAAAGGAGAGAGAGAGAATGATGACAGAAGAGATAACTAGTGAGTAGGAACACATGGGTAGGAGAAGCTGGGGGGGATATAAATAAATTTAACTTTAGGAGAAAATTATCTTAGTCACAGTGCTCTCGTGGCTTATGTTGCCTTTCTCTGCCCCACTCCCAGTTACCTGTGTTAACCCCTCCAGTGAATATCCACGCTCCGGTTGTCATGGCTGCTTTGATAAGGCCTTTCCCAAAGACTTGCTTGAGTTTTGGCTGGAGTTCAAAGTTCTGCAGGCCTCCATGGACAGAGATGAGAAGCTTGGGAAGCTCCAGCTGCCATTCCTTGGTCATCAGGTGTAAGAGGAGATCAGGCTTTGTATCGAAAGATACTCGCACATACTGGAAGAAGAACAGCCATGGATTAGACAGGGCAGGGCTGGGTGGGGCAGCTTATTTTTAGTGACTGCAGTGCATTTACTTGAGAAGATGTCTCATATGAATCCAGATTTTTAAAAAGGGGTAAATCATCTTTACCAAATGAGCCTTCATTAGACAAAGGGAGACACTATTTTTAAAGGTTTTCTTGGAATTGTGAATAACTACAAACTTTCAAATTATTTTTCTTAAATGAAGCACAGGCACAATTTTTCCTGGAATATGCTCTCTGCTGAAAGGAAATCATGTTTATATTTTACTGGCATTAACATTTGTGCAACAGTTCAAATGTTTCTAATATTTTCAATATAACTGATTCCTTTATGGCAGCTGGACCTGGATGTAACTGTTTCTGTGACCCTATTATTTCAAGAGGTTTGGGAAATTTCTATCATTCTACATAGTGTAATGAGAATCTACACTAATAAAAGAGAAAAATGCTAATTGACCGTACCTTCGCTATGCCCACAGCCAATCAGAGTGAGTATGCAAATTAACCCAACAAAGATGGAGGTTAATTTGCATATCCATGTGCAGAGCAGTGTGAAACCTACTATGAGGGGAAGGAGGTGGCGGAGGGAGCTACTGGAGTGGTGCCTCAGACAGGAGCAAGGACTTGCCGGCTCTGGGAGGCCTGGGAGCGGGGATATGCCGGCTCCCGGGTGGCCCGGGAGAGGGGGACTTGCTGGCTCCCGGTGGCTGGCTGGGAGTGAAGCCAGAGGCCTATTGCACAAATAGTGTGCAACAGGCCTCTAGTTTTAAAATAAGGTAACAGCTGATTATATTTATTTAAATCTATAGTAACTCCATACCAAATGTTTTTTTAATCTTTCAAAGAAGACAAATGACAAAAGGCATGCAAATTTCTCTTGCAGGATAGTTGGGGGAAAAAAAAATCAGAATGTATAGCATCTATATTTCCAGATGCAACCAGAAACAAAGTTGTGACAAGTAACTTATAAATGAAATGCCATAAATACATATAATAATAAATCTATGTATCTCTCTCTCTCTCTCTCTCTCTCTCTCTCTCTCTATATATATATATATATATATATATATAGTTATTTATATCACCATATATATAGCTACTTTTAGGCCTCAGTTTAATTGTATAAAGCCTTCCATTTCCATCTGAAACAATGGAAATACTGGAAAAATATATTTGAAAGCCTGTTGTAATGCAGTGCTGAGCTATCAGGAAAAGAGGGAATATCCTGGTTCCTAAACAGAGTGGAAGCTGGATCTCAGGAGGTAAGGGAGCACTAAAGCAGGCTTTAACCCTGTCAGTTCCTCCTAAACCCTGGAAGACCTTGGGTATCTGCTCTAATGGGTTTATGCAGTGTGGGTGAGTCTTACTGGGGACCCCCTATAAACTTGGGATACTTCGGAGGCCTCCACCCTCAAGACTAAGGAAGAAAAAAATAAGTCTGGTGTACAGAAGAGATCAGGAAGTTTGCCTGCTTACCTTTTTCCCTAAATAGAAAAGAAAACAAAATTCCCCTCTTATTATTTATAGACAAAAATAGATCCTCACGAAGATTTTAGCCCATATCTACATTATTACCATGGTTTCAGAAACTCAAACACAGTAATGTATAATGGTTCTGTTGGGGTAATGGCTCCAGCTAACTAGCAGAAACAAATGTAAATTCTCTGTGTAGGAATGTGCCATCAATCAAGATCTCAAATAATTTCCATGGGAAAATAATAATTTCATAGTAAAATAATTACACAAGGGAATAAAGCAGCATGAATGGGAACAAAAGGAAACAACAGACAGTAGAATAAGATCCTCAAAGATATTGAAATGATCAGACACAGAGTATGAAATAGCTATACCAGTATGTTAAAAAAAAAACATAAATGAGAAAACTGAATATGTGAGCAAAGAACAAGAGATTATAAGGAACGACCACATATAATACATTTGAAAAATAATAAAATAGAAGATTTCTAAAATTAAAATATAACAATTTAAATGAAAAATAAAGCGATAAATTAAACTATCAAACAGACATGCTAATGATATATCCAGAGAAATAAACCAGATGCCACCTAGAAACTAAGGAATTGAAAACAGGAGAAAAATGGAGCCCCTTGGAGGCAATACCAGAATTCTTGATAGTGACAGAGATTCTTGATAGTGACAGAAATTATGGTGAATAAGCAACACTTGAAAATAACGTGGCTGGGAATTTATCAGGATTGCAGACTTCTTTCCCCAAATCCTTTTTGAACATATTATTTTCCAACTCAAATTGTTATACCATACCTTAACTCCCATTCTGCCTGTCCTGGTCTTCCACAATTAGGCCTTGCCCTACTTATTCAGAGTCATTTCCCTACTTCTCTCTGTATTGGCTAATTCTGTTTCTTAAGTCCTAGAAAACCCAATCCCTCCGTTTTCATCTATATAAATCATTCTAGTCTTTTGAAGACTTTCACTGACTTTTCTTGAGAATGCAAACTCATGTCAATGCTATTATCACTCTCAATCAAACCAGGTCTGATATTTTATTTCTGGTTGCTGTTTGCATGTGTCAGTTTTATCTCATTGCAAGATATTTCAGGAAAGGGGACCATGTTTGACCTGACAATGATTTTTTCAGTATTGGCTATGTAATAGTTACAACTTTAGAAATAAAAAGGATCTTGGGTTAGCAGTCATGGGAACTAGAAATCATCAGTTCCATTCTCCTGCTTTACAGATGAGGACACTGAAACCTAGGGAAAATGAATAATAGAGACCTCACAGCTAGGTATCTAATAACTAGAGGCCCGATGCATGAAATTCGTGCAAGAGTAGGCCTTCCTTATCCTGGCTACCAGCACCAGCTTCCCTCTGGCACCCTGGACCCAGGTTTCTCTTGCAGGCCCAGGAGGACATCCAGTCTAATTAGCATATTATGCTTTTATTATTATAAATTAACCATTCACTAATCCATTCTGAAAATTACTGCCACACTGGGAACTCTAGGTTGAATTCAGACTAACATGTATGACTCACCAGGAGGGAAATAGGTTGGGGATGGGGGTTGAGGTTTGGCATTTCTAACCAGCTCCCCAGGGACCACATTGGTAGCAAAGATTACAACTCTTTCTCAGACCAAAGATTCTAAGTGGTGTGTCTTGTGTCTGTCATTGGACCAAAGGAAAGAAAGGATACTCAATATTTTATATGAAATCAGAAAAATAGAGGAAATATTGGAAGAACTACTCAGGACAAGTCATATTAAATAGGAACATTAAGCATATTTCTAACTACCTAGTTCTTTGTTACCAGGAATAATTCTTATACAAAGGAACACACGATTGACTCCATTCCACTGCTGAAAAATAAAAAATACTGGGTGTCCTTGGTCCTTTGGTTTTATTTGTGGTTTATGGTGCCCTTCCCTTTGAGAATGAGAGTCAACATAAGGAAGAAAGAAGTATTTAAATAAAGCAATTTGTTACTTTTGATTATATTATTGTTTAGCAATTCCATGAAATGGTTTTGGGTGATAAGAAAAAAAAAATTCAGAGGTGTTCTAAGTTAAAGAGCAGGCTGGAGAGTGAAAGAGATGAAACTGCTGACCAGCTCACAAAGGACTTATCACATTCCTGTCTTAACCCTTTGGAATTTTGGGTTAATTTCCAGGTGGGTATTTCCTCCCATTTCTTTTAGCCAGGCACCATCTAACTCCGGGAGCCTTTGCTTATCTACTGGTGATCTTTCCAGACTGCTGCCAACAGCCAATCTATAGGAACGGTCATTTCTTTAGGGGGACTCTGCTACCCCAGAGCTGGCCCTGCTTCATGGTCTCCCACACCTTTGCCCATAGCGCATATGAATTCTGTCCGACTACCTCTTTCTTTCCCCTTCCCCATGCTGGAGGTGGGACAGTGGACATGCTGTCTTTTCTACCTGGCCATTCCCCTGGTAATTTAGACACCATGCCATAAGACCAGTCATTGGTCTTAGCTTTTTTGATTCAATAAAACGTCACTTAGAAAAAATTTCAGTCATGGAAGTTAAAGATTTTTTAGTTTAAAATGAGCATAAGAAAATAATAAAACTATGGGATAAAATGTTTGTTTTTCTTTTTTTGGTAATATCTGAAGGTTTATATTATATTCATATACCCATAAAATCAGGTTATTCAGTAAGCTCTCCAGGTGCCTGTCATATAACAACCCACTCCTGTGCCAAATCAGCAGCTTCAATATCATAAATGATCCCGGAGCAATTCATCAATTTCCGCTAAATGGTCAATGTGGTTTGAAATGAGGAGCTATTTTGGTTGTTAAGATAAGCAGTTTGACTGTCCACTTGTGTGCTCATTAATTGCTAAGGGTTCACCTTACAAATAAGAAATCCTCCTCATGTCCTAGCCAGTTTGGCTCAGTGGATAGAGCATCAGTCTGCAGACTAGAAGGTCCCATGTTTAATTTCGGCCAAGGGCACATACCTGGGTTGCAGGCTAGAATCCCGAGTGTGGGGAGTGCAGGAGGCAGCTGATCAATGATTCTCTCTCATTACTGATGTTTCTATCGCTCTCTCACTTCCTCTCCAAAGTCAATAATAATATATTTTTAAAAAAGAAATCCTCCTCATGTGTATATTGAATTTTGTCACCCAGGCAGGACTTTGATGTGGTGACAATGTGCTTCCATTTCTTGATTTCCATTTATGTGCAGCATCACACTCTAGCATCAGGTGGTGGCCCTGTAAGCCATCTGGCCAATTTGAGCACTCTTTCTTGTAAATAGGGATGATCCTGATCATCTTACAGGACATGGTAAAGATTAAACTGTGCAAAATCCCTGTTATGGCAGAAAACCTGCTACATGCAAACTGGGTGATGGTTATAAAGACTTCTGCATACTAAAGAATTCAAATGACTTGTCTTTAGCTTTTACTAGTAAACTAGTATGCCATTCACAGTAGTGCTTTGTATTTCAACTATTTAAGCTATCTG